GGGAGGGAGCCACTTCAGCTCCAGAGTGGTACTAAGGGGAACGGTGTCCCATCTTGGGGGCAAAGGGTGGAGGGGTCACTGCTCCTCCAGAGGCTCCTCAGAACCCAGCCCAGAGCAGACACCACCAGAGTAGATCTGACAGAGACATGGGGAAGCTGTCTGCTTCCAGCCAGGGTGCACCGGCTGCGTTAGGGGGGGAGGAAAACTCCGGCAGCGACGCGCCCTGGGAGGCACCACTGGTGGGGGGACCCTGCTGAGCACCCGGGGGGAAGCACCAGTCCCACCACCGAGGCTGGGCCAGACCCACCTGCAGCTGTGTCCTGCTCGCACCCACCCAGCGTGCAGCCTGGCTGGGCAGCGCAGCCTCAGCCAGCGCTATGGACCAGGAGACAGTTTAGATTTCCATCAGCTGAAAGGGAAGAGCACCCCCAGCAGCAACCTGAAATTCCTTCCCACCCGTTACTTCCATCGTCTCTCCCTCCTATCCGAGGGGAGGGAATCTGCTCACTATCCTTTCCCACCGAGACCCAGCTCTTCCCACCATGCTGGGACCTAAGATCACCCTTCTGAAGGAAGCTTGGCAGAGCACTCCCCGAGCACTGGAAAAGCCTCAATGCCAGATGATTCCCAGTCCTTCCAGAGCGGCCGATTTACCTTGGAAAGCTCCTCCCCAGGCAGGCAGTTTTTGCAGGGGATGCATTTCCCATCCAGGTACTCGCCCTCTTGGCAGTGCATTGGGGCCGGAGAGGGGCCGGGAGCCTGAGGAGGAGAGGAAGAGAAGGCAGAGAGGTCACAGCCAGCCCCAACACTTTTCAGATCAGCAGCGTGTCCTTCTCTGGGCAGAAGTTTCCGCTCTGCATTTCTTACACGTCGGGGACGTCACTGTGGGAGGAGGAGGCTGCCAGCTCCCCCCGCACGCAGCCTGCTCCAGCAGCTCGGGAAGGGCTTCCCAGCAAGGCTGGGGATGATCCGCCTGGGTTTGCTGCCACACTGCAGCCTTTGGGATGGAGCAAATTACATTTCATTTCCAGCGTTAGGACAGACCCACCAATTGCCCAGGTCACCGATGCGCAGGGGGCCCGTGGACTTTGCCAGCCCCGGCTGTAGGTCTGGCCACCCCAGACTGTCAGTACAGAGCTCAGTCCCAGCAAAGTCCCAGCTTCCGG